TATAAAAGAAATAACGATAATGTATGCTCAAAAGACTTGTGGTGGTTTTGGGTTTTAAGATCTGTACTAGAGTACAAAAAGTAAGCTTTATATACATAGATTTATTTATTCATTTTTGTTTATATGAAGCCCACCCATATGATTAGCTAGGGTTCTTAACCCACTTAGCTTGAAAGACGCAACGCAATCCAGTTGCAGAATGCCAGCAGAAATAGACCCAAGAGCCTTGCGATATTACGTTGTCTCAGGATATTTCAAACTTACCTATGACACTTCTCTTGTCGTTAATGAGATAAAAACGAGCAAAGATACCTCGGGCGAAGGGGAGTAAAAGAAAGACAGTGGAGCGAAATCGGCAAAGTAAACGGCTTAAACGTGCGAGACTAATACGATACGATCGCTGCGACCGAGGGTGTTGGTCGCAAACTGATTAATTGAGGGCTATCAGTAGCCGTGCTGCTTGAGGACAGGTAAAACCGATGCGCGCATTGAGCATCTTGGCTGCTAGCCAGCGAGGCCCTGCTGCCGAGGGAAATCAATGTGTGGACGGGGCAGCGCCCGCATACGGATATGAGCCCGGCATGAGCGAGAGGAGACATAACGGGAAACAGAGAGAGGCGCAGAGAGCGGCCCCCGGGGACAGGCTGATGGACGAAATTTATCACAGAGCAGACGCAGAACGAACAGCGAAGCGGCACATGCAACAGAGCAAGCGGAAGAATCGCAAAAATTGCGCCGAACAGCTGATGAAGCCATCTACAGCAATGCTGACGAAGCGCTGCAAGAAGATCTCCTCGTTTTCGCGAGCAAAGCATGGATAAACATAAAAATTCTGATACGACTGATTTAAACCTTGATGTCCAAGTAAAGCTGATTGTTCAAAATGGAGCGAGGTTACTCAGTGAAAGCTCCCAGTGAAAGCTGAATAGGATCGGCGCCTTTTAAATCTTAACAATATGCCCGGATTATACCTAAGCTGATTGCCAAATCTGTTCAGATAGATCTTTAAAGACGTTCCTGCGTGATGAACCTTTTAGCTCTTCAACCATTTAATATTAGAATACACCACATAAAATCTTATGGCAGAGGAGTGGTACTGTGGAGGATCTCCATGAACCGATTTTGGTATCACCTTCTCTTCTCAAGTATAAAACCGCCCTAGCATAAGAGCATGCTCACCGTGTATGAAGTCGATTTCATTGCGTGCGTTGAATTCTTCCTCCTTCCTACATCTTTTCTTCAGAAATACTACTCATTAGATGCAAGTTAAAAGAACACATCAAAATTTTTCTATTAGCTCGTTGATTGGCTTCCCCACTTTTCATCTTCTATCATATCCCACGGGAGAAGCT